CTTTATAAAGATTTCTTTTGACTTCCTGTAATGCGAGAAAAAGTGAATGGACATCTCCCCAATGTGAAGCATACAAACAATAAACTTACGGGTTTTATCCCTTCACTACTCTATGTAAAACAAAAAATGAATGTTTTGGCTATACATACTACACATTGTGCCAGGTTGCCCTATCAAATTGATATTGCATGTCACTGATTCCCTTTAAATATCAGGGTTCCAGTAAACTGCATTTCCTTTATGCCTTTGATCTAATCAATACGCTGCCTACCTAAAGATTTGTGCTTAAAGGAGAACTATGGGGTCAGTGCTTTTACCCATAGTTCTCCTAAGGGTCACGGGAGGACACAAACTAGCGTCCTCCCGTCACCCAAAGCTCAGTATACCACGAGCTGCAGCTCGTGGTATACTGAGACGCCGCAGCCGGAACGGATCCAGACAATGCTGTCTGGATCCACCCAGCTGCGTGAGTGACAGCTGGCTCTGCCTATCTAGAGGCAGAGCCAGCTGTACCCGCCCCCGCCCGTTCCACCAGTCAGCGCTGGAGGATCGGACAGGGGAGGGGGGAAATCCCTGCAGGGAGCCGTGAGTGACAGTCACGGATGCACGGATAGATCGAGAAGTGAGCGAGCGACAGTATGTGTTTGCTCACTTCCCGATCTATTGAGCCGACGTGTGACAGTTTCATTGTCACAGGTCGGCTCGAACTATGCAGCCGAGTGATTTTCACTCCCCTCACAGTTCTCCTTTAACTTTGGTCCTCAAGGGCCAACAACAGAAGATGTTTGCCAGCTCCCAGTCCACAATGAGTTATTCTTTTTCATTAATGCAAATGTTTCATCCTCCAATATTCTCATTTTCTGGGTCCTACGGCAGAGCATATTCTTCTGAGTATAATTATGTCATAAAATACTAATTCCATCCATAAAATACTCCTAGACTTCCAGAATATAATTAGTTTTGAAATATAATTCTGTGGAGAGCCTTCAGATTTAGCCGCCATTTTCTAGAAGATACGGCTGTTGTGTATTTTCAGCCCTGGATTTGTGCTTGCAGCTGCCTTGTTAACTGCTTTAGAGCATATAGAAGTTGTCAGTGATAGTAGCACGCTGACAAAAGCTGACAATGCCTTTGTCGGCATTAGACGTGTTCCCAGATGTCACAATGTATCACCATTCTAATTTTACAATTCACTTCAGGGTCTCAAGACAAAGACATCTATTTCCATTAAACATGAAGACAAGGTTTAGATGATGAGCTTTTTTCCTTTACTTTTTTTTCTTTTGGAAATCGCACTGCTTTGATCAGTAGGCAGGCTTCCACAATGCTCATATCCAATTACATATAGCTTTAAACCTTAGCAAGCCTTACATATGTGCAACTAGTGTGGTCACACAAAGTGCCCTCAGTCAAGGTAGGGTGCCCAGGGGCAGAATTACAATTTCACAAAGTATACCTGCCACTTTCCCAGGTACACGGACCATAAGTAATTGATTACTGGTTAAATGTACTAATGCTTTTTTCAGTCATTTTTCATAACTTTCCTTTAAATGTTTGTATATTTGTTTTCAAAAGCCAGCATAAAGTGCATGTACTTTTATAAGCAATGAACTATAAGCAACATTATGCTCAGGTGTGAATGGGTACTAGTAAATAAAATGGAAATCCTAGTGTTGAGTGTTGAAGTGCTTCTGGTGAAGCTTCAAATCGCACTTCAAATCACTCAGGTGTAAATGGGCATTCACACCAATGTTTACGGGTGATGTTGGAGTGTTTTTATTGTTTTTGAGGCATATATTCAGGCTTAAGTGGTTTTGTTTGTTGTAGCCAAGGGAAAGCTAGATGCTAGGAGGAGGAGATGGTTGTTTAGCCTCAAAAAATGCAAAATTTCATTCATTTTTAACGCACTTCCATTGAAATCTATAGGGCCAAAAATGTTCCAGGCTCCTGTGAGCTCATATGTGAACAGGCACAATTTATAAGAATGGGGTTTTGATTGTTGAGCTTTTTGGAGCTTTGAGCGTCAAGCTACAAAACGCTCACGTGTGAATCAGAGCTAAAAATAAGATATAAGGTTCAGCGTAGTACAACATTTTTGGTAGTTAAAAAGTAAATTTTTAGAGTTCTACATAGCAGACTAAAAAGAGTAAGAACTGGGGAAGAAAGAGGGACAGAGGATTTTTTTTTTCCAAAGAGAGACGTTCCCTCCAAATGAGGGACAGTGGAGAGTTATGTAATTTGCTATATACTTGAAATACAGGAGCCGTTTATCTGCTCTACCACTTTACAAGCTTCTAGAGATAACACACGGAGCCCGATTTTAGTAAAGGAGTGGAGATTCTTTACACAATACAGTTGTGTGTACTTTTTAACTTTAGTGATCCAATCATGTAGACATCAAATTCCAGTTTTATTATTTCATCTACACGATTGGATAATTGCAATGAATATTCACATAATGTATTATTATTTTAAAGGAGAACTATGAGGTGAGTGCCTTTCACTCACCTCATAGTTCTAGCCAACCTTTCACAATGAGACTGTCACAGGTCGGCTCAGTAGATCGAGAGGTGAGCGAACACATACCGGCGTTCGCTCACCTCTCGATCCTGTCACGGCTCTCTGCTGGATTCCCCCCTCCCCCAGCGCTGGACGGGGGAGGGGGCAGGTACAGCTGGCTCTGCCTCTAGATAGACAGTGCCAGCTGTCAGTCACGCAGCTGTGCGGATCCCGACATAATTGTCGGGATCCGCTTCAGCATGCGGCGTCTTAGTATACCGCGAGCAACAGCTCGCGGTATACTGCAGCGTCTCAGTATACTGCGAGCTAAAGCTCGCGGTATACTGAGCCTAGGGTGACGGGAGGACGCTAGTTTGTGTCCTCCCGTTACCCTAAGGAGAACTATGGGGAAAAGCCTTAACCCCATAGTTCTCATTTAAGTAAACTAGCCCAAAGGTCTCTTGTATCATGGATTGAACACATTAAGTGGGGGTTTTGGAAGTTGACTTCACAGCTCAAAATCAAAAATGTCATAAGTGAGCCAGTATAAACTCTCAGAAGGAGGATGCCACCCACGATGACAGAAAAGCTGATGGGAATTTCTCCTTTTAAACAAATCATATTTTGTATTCAGCTCTGCTAACATGTTACTTAAAGGGGAACTACAGTGTTGTTTTAAAAAAAATGGTCGAAAGCCTTCTGTATATATTGCAATTATTTTTAGCAAATGTTATACTTTACTAGGTCATCTGAATGGTGTTCTTAAAAATGTATAACTAGTTAAAAATGCACCTAAATCTGTATATGTAACAATTGCTGAACACATTTGTTTAGTGTCTTTCAGTTATTGATTTTACTACAGGCAGAAAAAAAGGCACACATTAATTGAGCAGAGCTCTGTGCCCCCTCTGTGCGTGGTGATGTCACCATGTATTGGACCTTTCCTACATTTTTTTTCATCGTTACTTTGTCTGGAGCCCTCCTGACATAACGTGTAGGGCAGTGCCAACGCACGGTGATATCATAGAGGGGGAGGCCGCATGCTGGACTGAGTGGACATTAAAGGTGAACTATGAGGTGAGTGATTTCCACTCAACCTCTTAGTTCGAGCCGACGTGTGACAATGCAATTGTCACACGTCGGCTCAATAGCCGACGTGTGCGAACACATACCGTTGCTCGCTTACTTCTCGATCATCTCCCTGCAGAGAGGTGTGACAGTCACTCACAGCTCCCTGCAGGGATTGCCCCCCGCTCCGATCCTCCAGCGCTGACTGGCGGAACAGACAGGGAGGGGCGGGTACAGCTGGCTCTGCCTCTAGATAGGCAGAGCCAGCTGTCAATCAAGCAGCTGGGTGGATCTCAGCGTGACCCTTACGACAACTATGGGTAAAAGCACTTACCCCATAGTTATCCTTTAATTAGTCTTTTATCCTTAGTGTTGGACAAAATACTGCATATGTAAGTGATTTTAGTTTTATCTAGTTTTTAATAAATGGATTTACATTATGATTCCCCTATCTCTGCCATATGCCAAAGCCTGTCAAGTAAGAAGACCAGTACTGGATTTAATAACAGCACTTGTATGACCATTTGATTCAGTTAATTGGTCATCTCCATTTGGTGAGTCTGTTTGCATTGGGGTTATATCTGTGGTGGTGGAACAGATATCTGCCTGTTTGAAGAAACACCTGTATATGCTGCACAATGATTCACACTGCTAAGAATCTGTGTTTGGACACTCTTCTATTGTTGCATTTCTTGGAGTGGATCATTTGGAGATTGGAATGCACTGTGGAAGGATGGGCAAAATGTATGTTTGCACCTATTTCATACTAAAGTCTTGCACATATTTGCACAATTATTGTATTCATGTTTATCTGTTTTGTTCATTTATTGCACTGTTTTATATTGGTTGGCATATTGTGATCACTTGTGATATTTAAAAAAAGCTGCTAGTGATTTGTATTTCTTTTTTAGAGCAAACATTTACACTCAAAGTTTTTAGCTTTATAGTGTGTAAAAGGCAAATTAATAAAGTGAAAATGTTTAATTAAACCTCATATGTAAAATAATAAAAAATGCATTTTTGTCCATTTGTCTGCTCGTAATGAAAAACACAAGCATATTAATTTCAAAGTGTACCAAATAAAAACCTTATAGGTCGTTAATAAACAGTGTAAACAATGTTTGGGTGGACAATTAGTTAAATGGGTGGACATTAGTCAAATAACTATTGATAAATTTAGTCTGGGCATCCAGGCTTCAATGGCCTCTGGTCATATAGGGCTTCATTTTTGCTATGAACTCCATATCACATTGTCTTCTGTGTTTAGTTTTATTGTGCTTTTCTGCACTTTATATTGTCAGTTAATACACATATCTAATTATACCTAGTTATATGTATAAAAGAGCTTATAAGGCCTAAAAAAATGGAAACTGGATTATTTGTTATCATTGTCATTTTCAAGCATGTACTGACACAAAATTTGTTCATTGTAGGTACAAGAAAACACATGAAACCCTAAGCCAAGCTGGGATTAAAGCAAGTGCTGCCATAACTAATGTTGGAAGTGCAATTGGCAAAAAATTGGGAGATATGAGGTATTTCCATTTTACTTACCTTTATTAGTAAAACATTTTAAATGATTGTACTTAGATTTAAAGATAACATTGCTGAGTATAACATTTGCTTTTAATAAAAGAGTGCACAAAAAGCACATCAACCAAGCTCATAAACATAGGACTATATGGATAACTTGGTTTAGTCTCAGACCACATTCATGTAACTCTTTGTATACTAAAGCTTAAAGTGACCCTAAACTCAGGAGTTAAATCTTAAAAATGCATTCAAGTACCTTAATTATTAACAAAAATGTATCTTATTTGTGTATCACTCAGCTGTAGATCATCAAACCATCTCTGAGTTGGTGCTGACACTGTCCTTCCTTCTGGAGTGTGATTACTTTTGTACCCCATGGTCCCTGTGTGTGTTGTAAAGTAGTCACCGCTCCAAGTTCACTCCAATGATGGACTACAATCTCAATACAAATTAGTAAACTAAATGTGAGATTGTAGTCCATCACAGGGGTGAGCTTGGAGCTGAGATTGAATTCAGAGATGATTTGAGGATCTACAGCTGAGTGATACACAAATAAGAGTTAAGTGTCACTTTACATATCATATACAAAATAAGGAAATCGACTTCTTTTTAATGCTCATACACCGCCTACAAACAGGGCCGATAGGAGTCTTAGGCCTGAGGTACATAAATAATTCCTCCACAACTCATTAAATTAGTGTGGACCAAAGGTATCTGGTCTAAAAGTCTTATATTTTTACACTGATATATTTAACTGCTTAGATTTTTCTCTGTTGACCTGCAATTAATTTTTTATGGCAACCTAATGCAATAAAATGGTCGAGAATTGCTTGTATAAAATTGTGACCACCAGTTAAACAATGTTGTCACCACTGCAACTTTTCTTTCTTCTGCATAATGTATATATTCTGGAATCTGCTTACCAGAGGTGTGCTGATTTTTTTTTTCTCAAGAAAAAGGTTGCAGTAGTAGAATGTTTTATGACTGTGCCTTACCGCCTTTTTGCTCCTCCAAAGCAGTAGGTGACTTTGCATTCTTGCATTGTTTTTCAAATATATACTTTATATCAGGAGTGGCAACTCTCTGGAGAGGTGAAGATTTTAATGTGATGGGATTCCATAAATAGTAATTTTTAAGTATGTATCCACAGTACAATACACTGTTGGCAAGGATATAAAGCACAGATAACCAATGGAAATTAATTAGGTGCCCCATTGTATGTCTGCAAATATGCAAATATGTTCAGAGTCTATTGTGGAGGGAATTTTCTGTTGGCCTGTAGGGATGGTTCCCATTGTCTTTAGGACACCGAATACATCAGTGGCAGGCTTGTAAAGTACAGTAAGATTACACACCTTGGAGTGTCTTGACCTTCTCCAACTGTCGTTTAATTTCCCAATGCAAGGGACTAACCCACTTTAGTAGGTTTGAAATACTTTACCATACATTGCTTCTGTACTTTTTCTCTTTATAGTCTATTGTGGTGAAGGGGCATACCACCCATATAACCTTCATCTTTTATACATTGTTACTTCTTATACACCATCTGCTCCAATAAATCAAGAAACATTTATGTTGAAAATGCAGTAAATCTTGCTTGCTTTTTTATTTGTTATGCTGACTTAGTGTAGTGGAGCAGGGAGGTGGGCTTATTAGGATCACTTATGGTTGTTTTTTTAGCATTGGTGCTGGTCCTATTTAACTGTATTACACTTATCTAATATATATTTCATCCCAACCTTACATCACACCTCCTATTAAAGAACTTTTAAGGAAACTTGAGCAATACTTGAGTGCAGAATTATCCATTAATGATGTACCTGAAGGCTGGGTGGTTGTCCTTGCATTGGTTGGTATTGTTTGATAACACTGTGATGATTTTATTTTCTTTGCTGCAGATCGCATTCTATTAGGTAAGATGTTATTATTATTTATAGTAAGGTTGCCTTGTTATATATTCTATTTTAGAAAGTATTAATCTTAAAAGTATGTATGCATCTATAAAATGGCTGCAGTTACCATACAGTAAGTTCAGAACTTAAATTGTGCAGTTAGACATATCCTTATTGTTTATGTGGGGACCATCTAATGTATGCACTTCCATGCAATCCTCAAGGAAAACTGAACCAGTCAAAGATTTTAATACATTTCTGAAACCGTTTGCATTGAACAGTATATGCATTTTTACAGTGGAGGACAAAGCAGCACAACTTATCTCTTTAGGACTGGACCAGGGGGGACAATGGTCCCCCCAGCAAAGTCCTTTCCTGCATTTGTATACAACATGCGGTTCCTACCATATAAAGAAGTAGTTTGTTATAAATACTGCACAGCACACACAGCATAGGTAAATAAATACATCAATGTATACAATGTGTATTTACCTTGAAGCTGGACAAAAGCATGAGAATGCTGTCAGATATGCATGCAAGAACTTTGCTCATCCCCAATTGATAACAAGAATGCATGCTTATGCCCCTTTACAGACAAGTTAATGCTGTTATTTCAAAGAAACAGTATTGCCTGAAAAAAACAATGAAAGAGATAAAAACTAGGGATTTGAACCCAACAATGGTTTGGTTTCTATAGCTTCAGTGCATAGACAGTATAATAATTAGGGAAAACACATTAAACAACTCTTAAAGAAAGAGAATAAATAATTACACCTTTCTCAAAATACCCAGGAATAAATTGCTAGTACACTTTCAATGTATTTATTTATAGATTAGAACCTAATTCTGTTTCTCCTCATATAAAATTGCAGAAATATTTTTTTAAACTGTTCTCATTATTGTTGACTTCAGTAAATCAGGTCCCTACATATTAAATCCCATAGTAACAGATTATAGGAGTACAAACAACAACCTAACCACCATGACAAATGATATATGCAGTGTGATAAAAATAAATAACATGCACAACTGAAAGTTAGTCTGCACTTAAGGTTTTGCGTCTATTTTAGTTTATAGTATAGTTTATATAGGTAACGGCCCAGTACATTTTATTGCAGTCTATATTCCAATGATGAGATTCACTTTCTCTATTTGTTCTGTTGACCATTGCTATCAGACTGAAAGTGATGGAAAATCCAACATTAAGAGTTTTCAGCAGAACAGCAAGAGAGGGAAAATGTTCTAATGGGGACACTTGTTCCAATAAAAACTAAGCAGGTATTTTCCCCATTTTGCAGAAATTTCCTTTTACTTCCTGTCGTGTCTACTAGACAGAAAGTGAAAGGAAATTTCCCCAAATGGGATTGTTAACCCCACTCACCCCCTCTATCCAACATTAGAAAGGTTTTGGCTTTTTATATATAGTGGGCAATATTAAACACGTGTCAAAAATTGTATTTTTATTTTGTGCTAACAAAACTCGAGAATGATAACTGAAACAGTGTGAAGTAGGTATAATTGTTCCATAATTCTAGGATAACAGCAAAGCAATATGATTATTATTTGTATTACAGCCGAATTCTGAAAAGTAGTATACATATTATAATTTATTGAGTTTCTTTTTTTTCTGATAATGCTTACAATGGCAGCTATTCTATCCGTCATTCTATAAGCATGCCAGCAATGAGGTAACTATACCATAATCTTGCATGCTTCTCATTGCTACTTGTGCTTATTCTGTTGTGTTCAATTCATTCTATATTTTAGGTCCCATTTATACTAGCAGCACGCGATTTCATGCATCGCGTTTATGCGTGTTTGTTGTGCCCATTCATTTCAATAGCCTTCAATGTGCAACAAACATGCGAAATAAGCTCATGCACCTTTTTTTGAGCCTTGAGCTACGTGTGTTTTTAAACCTTGCACTTTATCACATTTTTTTCATTTATTGTTTGCCAGGTTTTGGGTGCAATGCACAGTGAATGGCAGCACAAGCATGGCACACCTTTTCACACGTTTTGTGAACACGTGCAAAATTACGCACTATACCAGTGTGAATGGGGCCTTAGTAAGCCATCATATGGTATATGGAAGGATACAAGTATCACACTATATCTGTTTACCATTCCCTTTGGTTTGGCATTCTGAAGTTACTGACACAAAAGTGAATCTATTAATTGCCTTAATGGATTCCAACCAGAACATTGGTTAGCTTTGGAGAGAGTTAAGAAATATTACAACTTATGTAATTATTGTATGTACAATATATCTGTTGTGGAGCTGTCCCCTCATTTACTATCCCTATCAGGAAGTAAGGATAATTTCCCTAACAGCATTAAAAACGGATTCAAAGTATAATCCTTTTACCTTTTACTAAAAATTAGCTATCATTGTGGTGTTCCTTTTTGGAAAAAGAACTTCACATCCCAGTGACTACACAAGATATGAAGAAAAAAACTCTCCAAATGGGGCCACAGGCATCACTAAAAACCTGAAGGTTCTTAGCCTTCGTCACTCTATCTAAAATGAAAAAAGATGTTTTGTTTGGTATTTAAACATTCGAGTCTGTAATCTTATGTGTACAGAAAACACTTTAACTATACCTCCATGAACACGTACATAACTTGTAAAGCCTCCTGACGCTCACAGCTCACCATTTTGCTTAGCTCTTATGGCCTTCCATAAACCTTAACTATGCTTAGCAACCTCACTGACCAATAGCAATATCATAGACTGTTTAAAATTAACTCCATTACAAAAACTAGAGGCCATAACCTAAAATTGGTGGAAAAAAAAATTCCAGCACAAGGGGCGAAGGGGGTTCTTCACTATAAGATCAGTTAGGGTCTGGAACTCACTGCCACAGGTGGTGATTTCAGCAAATAATGTGGAATTGTTCAAGAAACTTTTGGACGATTTCTTAAGGGACCGTAATATACAGGGGTACGGGTACTCCTAGAATGAGATCCTAATAGGTTGGACTTGATGGACTAATGTCTTTATTCAACCTAAAATACTATGTAAAGTCCAATCAAAGTCACAGAAATATTTGGTTAAATAGACACTGTGATAATAATTGCAAGGTGTGTCTAAATATGACTGCAATCTAATAGACACCAGAGTTTAACCATACTGCTGAGTGCACCCATAATATAACAGACCTACATTAATACTCTTTATTAAGGGGTGCCGCTGTTACTCATCTATCTCAGCACAGAGGACTGGATTCGGAGGGCAGGAATTAAATTATGCAAAGAGAAATAAAGGTTTTTAATAACTGTGGTACAAGGCTATAAAGAGCAAAACAGGTGTAAGATTTTAAATGAGCGTTAAGCCTTAGAAACTAGTAACAGCAAAAAAAAAAGAAGACTCCCTGGAGCCAAGCAGGCTATATTACAAAGTCATCATTAGTATATTATTATAACTTGTTATATTTTTTATTTACCCATAAATTGGCGATCCTCCCAATTTTTCTTATGCAAATAACCTATGTGCTGACTTTAGCAATACGTGAGCATCCGTTCTAGTTTGATTAGGAGCTGCTGACACACAAAACAGACACACATTCAAAACAACTGAACTAGAAAAGAAGACGTGACTCATTAAGCAACTTATTCAAAACAATTACTATCTAACCTTGCTTCAGTGATAAATAAGACAAAAATACATGCTTATAGCACCATTCACCTCCACAGCATTAGTCAACATAATTGTGCTCTGTGGGTTTAATTTCCTCTGGCACTGCATTTAAATTTAGAAATGAAAGAAAAGCTTTGCCGATCAATTGGCGTATCAGAGTAGGGCGCTTTTCTTCAACAGTTGCTGCCAAAACCAAGTCTAAAACATTTCTTATAAGAAGCTCTGTCCTATGAGTAAAAAGAAAAGATCAGAGGTGTTACTGCAGGCTCTTAAGCCCTGGGGCAATTGGGGACTATGTCAATGTTCTTTGGGCTTGCATGGATGGCATCAGTCGAGATGCTTCTGAGATCATTCAGAATTAATTAACAGGTGCATTTGACCTGAAGTTGACCCTCTTCTGACCTGCATTAAATGGGATTTGCATTCCCCTTCACTTGCCTGGGAATGCAAAACCTGCTTAATGCAAACAAAAGCCTATTGACACAAACTCTAAATGTGTCTGTCACCTGATCCACTTTACCCCTGCATGATCCATACATGTAAAGTATGTATGTCCTATGTACCCCTAAACACTTTACCCTGCCCTAATGACATCAGCTGGATATATGTAATGCTGGTCACTGTTGGATAATAATGCTGGGTATGCAATGCTGCTCAGACTGTGCTAGCAATGTGAGCTAATTCATTTTTTTAGACCCATTGGGCACCATTATTATCCCCTCCAATCACTCAGTGCTTTCTTCCCACGCCATTAAGCATGAAGTAGCTCCTTCCTGTCACTGATCGCAAGAGGACAAGGTTTTGGTTAGTCCTTGTTGCTACCTACAGTGAATTGGTCACCTTTCTAAACCTCTCCTGCTTCCAGGAGTTGGTTTATGAGTATTCAAGGTTGAACCTTGTATTACAGCTAAATTGTCCATGATTGTGGTGAAACATTTTGAATCCCAGACACAATCCTCTAACAGTTGCAAGGCACCCTGCAGTATTCTCTTTTAAATGCCTGACACCGACAGCCTGCAAAATCTTCCTCTTCTTGAGTCCTTGTATTCATTACAGCAAATAGAAAACAGGGGTTTTCTAGTATTTATTAAACTGAATGAATATTGACTCCACTGGTGGCGTAGCATGTAAGGTGACTGGGCTACAATAATGACTGCATCCCGGTTTCCGAGTTGTGAGTTCCATTCCGGTTGTAAGCTGAGAATGCCAAATGCTTCCTGACTCATATATTGCTTACACTCCCATGCCAATGTTCCCTTTATTTATTCAGTGTTTAATAAACTTTATTTTATTGTATACAAAATTATTCATATAGTGGTGATATGCCTCTCTTCAAACCCCTGTTTTCTATTTGCTATAATTGTTACTAATCCAAGGGGGAGAGGTTACATCAGGGGGCCGCTGTGATAGCAACTCACAGTTTTTTTTTTTTTTTAGTCCTTGTATTCCTCAAAGTTTTTCTTGGCTCTGTCAGGTGTGACCCCCTACTCAGATTTAACCCAGGAGAATTTCACTGCAGTTTACAGGATTTTGTTTGGCCAAATTGCAATTTTAATTACTGAATGACTGCATAGAACAGAAGCACCAGAATCATTATCTGACCTGCCTGCAGGCTTAGAGGTCTATGAGTCTTTGGTTGCAGAAGCTCTATCTGATATACACTGAGTGGCCAGATTATTATGACCACCCCATCAGTTCTTCGTTGGGCCACGAGATAACTTCACGAGATGACTTTGTTGGGCCGCCTCGTGACTCCACGAGATGTTGAAAGGTGATGCGAGGAATCTGACACTGCACTGTTGCCCTTCTGTTGTCTTGTACCAGTCTTGCCACTCTCCGTTCTGCCCTAACATTGACAAGTCGCTGACGGCCACAATTCGCATGTTCAGACCCAGATTTTCAGCTGACAGTCCAGTCTTTAAAAACTTTAACAACAGCTGCTCTTGAACATTTAACGAATTCTGCTGTTTTGCTGATACTCGCTCCATGGCTCCGAGTGCCAACAATCATCCCACGTTCAAAGGCTGTTAAATCGTGTTGTTTACCCATATCTTCAGAAAAAAAATCACTTCTACTGTCGTGGTAAACAACCCACTTCCCTATTTATAATGGTCTGGCCTTCTAGCAACTTCAGCGCTAAATCATAGCTAATTATAGCTAATTTGCCTACAAACGTCAGGTTGTCATAATAATCTGGACACTCAGTGTAGAGTCTTACAAATCCTTGCAGGTCAAGATTTTCCCTGAGGACTTACAGGTAGCTGTCATAACTCCCATGTTAAGGGAGACCATTTCAGATCTTATTGGTGCATACAAGCTTAAAGATAGAGGAGCAACCTATAACTTCCACAAGCTACCAGTCTAGGATCCCTTTGAGGCCTTAAGACCAATAAAAGTGTTCACATGCCCACACCAGTCGTTTTGTACGCAGACTGGGAAACTGATAAACTATTAACACCTCCCAAACATTTTGTAATTCGATACATATTTGAGAAGGCCTTAAACAAAAAGTGGGCCGTTTCCACAGTTAATCCCACCGTAACAAATCACTGATGATTCATGTAGAGGAATGCGCCAATATTTAAGGATCCAATGAACAGACATTTAGAGACTCTCTCTAAAGCCTTGTTTTTGCTTGCAGGCTCTGCATTGCAACCTGCCATGGCTGTGATGTTTGTTTGTCAAACATTAGGGGATGGACAAAACTCATGGCAAGGGACAATATTTGTTTGGAGCTGCCTTGAACACCATCATCAAGGATGTCACAGGAGGTAAGAGTACTCATCTATCCCAGCAAAAGAAGTCTAGGCCTCAGGCCTGGAAAAAATCTCCCCTTCTGAGTCCAAGGAAAGTTCCTTCCATTACTCTCAGGCAGATCCTAAGCCAGTTGCCCAGTTTCACCGCAAGTCATGAGCCCCTAAATCCTCCAAACCTGCAGTCCCTCGGCATGAAGGGATGCCTCCAATTTCCAAAGTGGGGACATCTGTTAGCCATTGCAGATATCTGGATGGACTGCACCTCAAGCACCTGAGCAAGGGAAATGGTTTTAATGGCCTCAAACTAAAGTTCTGTTCCTCGTTTCATGTCCTCCAATCTTCTTGTGTCACTGTTCAGATTAGCAGACATTTATGTAGCCCTTGCAGGTCTTCTGGAGCAAGAGGTTATCACTCCATTATGTGCATTATATTCCAACCTTTCCACATTTCCAAAGCCAAAAAGGGGCATTTGTTCCATTTTGGATCTCAATCCCTAAATGTCTTCATTCAGGTTCCAGTATTCAGTGTGGAATCCAGCCGGTCAATCATAGGCTTCCTTTATCAGGGAGACATTGTAGCTTGTTTATACATCAAACACATGTATACTGTACACACAATATATGCTTAGTTTTCCAGTATGTCAGTGATTCCTTCCCTCAGCACTTCCAGTCTGTGGCCCTGCCATTCAGTCTCTCTTTTGCACACCATGTATTCACCAAGCATCTTTGCCTTGTCTTGTTCCCTCCCAGGGCACCCCCACTATAGGTTATCTGGACCACCTCCTGTTGAGGATTGGGACAGTGTGAGTGTGGACAGTTTAGATTTTTAAAAGCTTCAGTTGGATCCTGAACCTCCAGAAGTCTGCGTTGGAACCAACTCATTACTTGGAATATCTGGGTCTAGTCCTGGGCACATCTCAAGCCACAGTTTTCCTTCCACCAGAAAAACTTTGCCCCCAGGCACAGACTCTTCAGTCCAAGAGTCAACCAATTCTTCCTTTATGCATGTGAGTCATGGGGCTGTTAGGCTTTTTCTTAGGGTCCCATTTGCCCAGTTTCTTACCAGGGCCAATGCAGCTCAACATCTTGGCAGTGTGAGACAAATCTGTACAGTGAATAAAACTATTTGCCTGAGACCAAGTTATCACTAGCCCTGTGATTTAGGAATCAAGCTCTGGAGTTGAGGAAATCCATCTTTCCAATATGGATGCTGGAGGAATTCCAATCAACATTCTGAAGTTTTGAACAATTTGGTTGTCCTTACAACGCTGGACTTGCAGGTCTTCTGATCCAGTCTGACAATACCATGGCAGAGGTGTTGTAAGGAACCGGATCTGAACCCAGGGCCTCTGCTGTAGCTCTGAAATTCTCAGTTAAACCTAATGTCTGCTGAACTCTGAACTTCTTGCTCCTCCCTTGCATTTCCTATTTAAGCCATGCCTCTGCACTTCCTGTTTGCCAGATTATTGTGCTCCTGCCATTATTGCTCCTGCTCCCTCTGTGCTACAATCTACTCATACTGCTACCCGTGTACCGACCTTTGGCTGCTGATTCACCGACTACTCTCATCGTCTGCTGCTTCATACCCGATACCTTTTGGCGACTGACCTCGGCTTGTTTGCTGACTACGCTTCTGCCTGCTCCTACACTACTACCGTCTGCTTGTGTACCGAACCCGGCTGTTATACCACAAATTTGCCTGATGTTTCAGCTACTGGACTCCAAGTCTGATCCCAGATCGTAACAGGTGTACATTATTCACCAGGAAGGAGCCAGAAATCTTGTCACAGCAAGGGAAGTAGAAAGGATCCTGTCCTGAGAAGAACTTGACCTTCCAGCCTTGTTCATATTTCAGGTGTGGACAATTGGCAGGCAGACTTCCTCAGGTAGCAGAGCCTGGACCCAGGGTAATGGTTTCTAAACCTGGAAGTGTCCCGGAACCTGTGTCACAGGTGGGGGGATACAGAATATGGACCTCCTAGCCTCCAGGTTCAACATCAAACTAAGCAAGTTTGTCTCTAGGTACAGAGATCCTCTGGTAGCATCAGTAGATGCTGTGGTGGCTCTGTGGGATTAGTACAACATATTCTATGCCTTTCCTCCACTGAAACTCCATCCTTGTCTGCTCTGCAGGATTGCAATGCAGGGCATTCTGGTGATCCTCATAGCCTTAAACTGACCTAGGCAGAAGTGCTATTCTAACCTGATCAGACTCCTGGCAGACTCTTTGTTGGCTGTTTCAGACTGACTGGATCTTCTATTCCAAGGACCAGCTTACCATCCTTCACCACAGTCATTGCTTGATGGCATGGCTGTTGATGTCTAGGTTACAGGATTACAGGACAGGGCACTCTCCGACTTGGTGATACTTACAATGTTAAAAGCTAAAAAGTCCCAGATGATCTACCATCGCACATGGAAGGTATACGTCACTTGGTTTTAGGAAAGAAATTCCCATCCCAGGAAATGCTCTGTGGGAAAAATGTTCTTTTTTTTAGTCTGGCTTGGTTCAACAATTGTCCCTGACCCTATCAAGGGTGGGATGTCAGCATTGGCAATCAAATTCAATAGAACAATAGCCCCCCATTCTTTGATTAGGACTTGTATGCAGGGTATCTCTTATGCAGCTCCCACAGTGTGTGCACCTCCAGTTCCACAAAATTTACATCTGGTTCTCTTGAATCTTCAAAAATTACCGTTTATCCTGTCAGGGATATTCCACTTTCCACTCTCACTCACAAGGTCTCATTCTTTGCTGTCATCACCGCTTCAAGGCGTGTTCTTGAACTGGCAGCTAAAAAACAAGGACAAGGTGGTTTTGGGGCCTAGAGCCTCATTTCTTTCCAAGCTAGTTCTAGCTTTTCACCCCCAACAAGGTCATTGTGCTTCCATCCTTCTGTCTAACCCCAGTACATTAGAATGAGATTTCCCTACATTGTTCTGATGTAATTCGTGCTGTGCTTGTCTACCTTAAGCCACTGCTTCCATTAGAAAGACTGACTCCCTCTTTGCAATTCCTGATGGCCCCTGCAAAGGTTTCCTGTCTCGGCAGGGCTCTGAGGTGTGGCAGAGATGTGTAAATCCCAGAATGTCTATGGACATTACTAGGGATGTTCAGATACCAGTGCCGATACTTGGCATTTTCACGAGAACTACCAGGGTTGCAGCTGGGACCTGGCCCTGGCGCCCCACTACTGTCCTGAAATCATTAGTCAAACAATTCATCCCCACACCGCTACCGCCTCACGTATCACTTCTCCCTCCCTTTTAGATTGTAAGTCCTCAGGGGCAGGGCCCTCCTTACCATCTTGTCTTGAATTGTATTGTGATTGTAATGTCTTCCTTACATTGTAAAGCGCTGCACAAACTGTTGGTGCTATAGAAATCCTATATAATAATAATAATTAGTCTGTATTGTTTTAGAAAAACTGTCACATGACACTAAATAGAAATGTATCAGTACTTGTATCTGTGAGTACTTGGACAAGTATCAGTACTAGTACTTAAAAAAATGGTATTGGTGCATCCCTTTATTTATAAAAACAAAATCATACATGAAAACAGAGATGTACAAATCCCAGGAGCTCCGTGTGCTCCTTAAAAATGACAGCTGCCTCCTAACTTTTGAGTTTTTCTCTAGCCTAGTCTTGGAGCTGGAAAAGTATCTGTACATGTACTTGTATCAAGTACGGTACTTGGTATCTGAACATCCCTAATTAAAACAAATCCTTTCGCAAGCAAAATGGCTCTATTTTATCTATTCCTTCTGTGTATTCAGCAGCTTGCCTGGGCTTCAGCATAAACCGCAGCTTGGAGAGAAGTCAATGCCTTGTATACAGCCTGAGCCTATGATTCAGGGTCCTCCCCAGTCATGAAGAAAAAAGCATGTATTTTGGCATTTGCTCTATGATGATGGTCATCTGATACCTTATATATCTATTATTTACAATGTTTTATATAGATAGCCAGAGATCACATATGCACCTGCATAATATGAAAGCTAAAATGCCTGCTTTACTAGGATTAGCATTCTGTAATACATTTGCTGTATATTCTTTCTCATTATGGGCACTTTTGTGGTCAAATTGCAAATCGTTATCCACAAGTACTTTTCAGTTCTACATTTTACTTTTATTCAATTATTTTTACCGAAAATAATGTTTGGGAGAGATGTCGACGTATTTTAAATGCTAATGGTAAGAATTTAACCTGTGCCGTTATAACTAGATAGGTGCATTTCTCTGGCTGTTGGCTGTGTGATTTGGAGGAACTATGTGGAAACTATAAATAATTGACTTTGGTCTTACATTCAGGTAAAACAGGCTATGATGCTTAGAAGCTTTAGTCTGAAGTTTCCAAGAAAGGAATTTGAATTTATGACAAATTCCCTTTAACCTGATGTTTAGAGAGAGTACATAACTTAATTTATTCATGGGGGAGAGGGGGTATTACAGCTATATTTCTACTTCTTTATTCATCATTTTACACATACATGAACTTTTTTTTATTGTGTGGCTAAATCATAGTAAATATTCTTGTGTATTCTTTGCTTGTAACAAAAAAACATTTGCATGCACCACATGAGCATTAACATGTGATAGACATAGCTACACCTACTGCCATATTTAATAATGCAGAGCTTAGATTCTGCATTAGTGCAGTAACCTATCAAACTTTGGAGTTCTGCAACTACAGTAAACTGAAACCTGATTGGTAGTACACTGCCAAAGGCACTAAGTAATTAAATACCACAATGCTGTAATAACTAACTTTTTTTCTCTCCTAGAAATTCTCCTACATTCAAGTCTTTTGAGGAACGTGTTGAGAATACAGTAACTTCACTGAAGGTAAATTATGTCATTTGGTTTGCTCAACCAATTTACGCTGCAGAGTACTGTATTAAAAAAATGTCATGGTGAGAAATCTAGTGATGGGTGATTCACTGAGGGGTCCTCAAATCTAGTTTGAAGTTCAGCAAATCCAAATTTTGTGGGGCATTGAATCTCTGATCCTATTGAAGTCAATGGGAGGCTTAATCCTACTGTTAAATTCTGTCCATTCTCTGGGCTAACGGGCAGAGAACACAAAAAAAAATAGCACAACTCTCATGGACAGCATCAGCAACACTTTATTTTCGCATCACAAATCTTGGATGTGGAATTGATTTTTTTTTAACAATAGCTTGAATAAGGCAGCAGCAAAAAAATGCTTTTTGAGGTAGTTTTGGCTGCAACACTTTTTACTGATTTACCCGATTAATAAAATTAGGTTGAATGTGTGCAGATTCTCAATATTATAAAATCACCTGTATTGCGCTGTGCATAAACTGATTAATCCGTGCAAAATAAGCTAGAAATGTATAGATTATGTGTGATAACAGAAAACAAGTGCTTATAACTGTATATTTACAGTAAATAAAGTGCAAAGTAGTGAAGACACCTCTATCGCACTATGCCCAAAATATCTATACATCTATCAATACAAAATCAGCATTGCTGAGATAGATCATATGATCTATCTGTGTAAGAAGGCAAAAATCATATCAATCAGACCGTAGATTCCCAGTTGTATAAAGTGCAAATATGTGCATTAAACATTATATTAAGTGCATAAATGCCATGTGTCTTCAAATTAATTATATTAAAAAGTCCAAATTCTTAGATGAATAAAACGTGTTATTGAAAAACTTTGATCGCAAAATGACACCATGCTTTTTCTTTTCAGTAGTGGTGCACATTAAATCCATAAAGTGTCGCCGTGCTCCTTATTTCTCTCTAACACACTCACCAGATGGCTCTTAATATTGCGTTTGTACCAAAAAAAAAGTCACTGATTTTGATTAACTTCTTACAAAATTATCCCATTCAGATAGCTTTAACTTTCTCTTCTCACTCCCTCCGTTTATTCCTCAGTGAGTAGCTCCTTTTCACTGGCAGCAAGATCTATGCTTTGATCCACTCGTGATGTCCTTTTCCTCCTTTCATAAACTCATACCATAGAGCAGTGGTTCTCAACCTGTGGGTCGGGACCCCCTCGGGGGTCGAATGACGATTTGCCAGGGGTCGCCTAGTCAAAAAAAAAAAAAACACCATAGGAATGCATAGCTAGATTCCTATTGGCTATTTCACTTTGCAAAAGCCAATAGCAAACTAGCTATTGCAACCGCCCTCTGATGCTGCCAATCAGCAGAGGGGGACCTGAAGTTCGGCACGTGGAGCTGCGAACACGCCCGAGCCCATCCCTATCAGTGACAGTACTGCGGAGTATGTACCTCATACGTTATATAGCCACACACTTTAAATCCAATTCTTCTAGTTCCAGCTGCAGAGCCCGGTCCGGTCTTTGCCTATAGCAGTGGTTCTCAACCTGTGGGTCGCTGTGCAAGGTGAGAGTCCTCCTCAGCTCTCTCCTAGCGCAGCAGTGTCAGTTCTCCCGCCACGCCTCCAGATGTCGCTGCAGCAGCCGCGTCATCCCTAAATTTTACCTTTGGGGGTCACCACAACTTGGCAAATATTACCAAGGGGTCCCAGCCCTAGAAAGGTTGAGAACCACTGCCATAGAGTTTCCTGTTGTTTTTTAAAAGGCATGTTATCTTTATAGCCTGTGTCTTCTCTTCACACTAAGAATAGGCAGACGCAAGCCATAAGAATAACATCATGGATATGATTTGTGCCTTCTTACACAGATAGATCATACGATATATCACATTCATGCTGATTTTGTATTGATAGATGTATAGATATTTTGGGCATAGTGCAATAGAGGTGTCTTCACTACTTTGCACTAATTTGCATTTTATTTACTGTAAATATACAGTTATAGGCACTTATTTTTTTCCCCGCATAGACTTTATACATTTCTAGCTTATTTTGCACAGATTAATCAGCTTAGGTGCAGCACAATGCAGGTGATTTTATAGTATTGAGAAAGTGTATACACTTTTGTGGTTTACGCAGCTTGCAGTTATAGATTATAGAATAATTACAACATGCTAACACAGATTTATTTATTTATATTAGGGATGTTCAGAAACCAAGTACCGTACTCGGTACAAGTACAGATACTTTTCCAACTCCAAGACTAGACTAGAGAAAAACTCAAAAGTTATGAGGCAGCTGTCATTTGTAAGGAGCATACAGGGCTCCTGGGATTTGTGCATTCCTGTTTTACTGTGATTTTTTTTTTTAAATAAATATATATAAGTGATGCACCAATATCATTTTTTTCAAGTACAAGTACTGATACATTTTTGTTTATTGTCATGTGACAGTTTTTCTAAAACAATACAGACTAATGATTTCAGGACCATTGAGGAGTGCCCGAGCCAGGTCCCAGCTGCAACCCTAGTAGTTCTCATGAAAATGCCAAGTATCTGCACTGGAGCAAATTTCAAGTTTCATCAGCTTCATACAACGTACTTTTTAACCCCTTTTTGCACAGAAAAGCGCACACGGAAATAAATTATATAAACTGTATTAGCACTACGGTACAGATTGTGGAATGCTTCAGCCTTGAGCAGATGGTATATAAAAACATGCATGGATTTTGAGGAAATGTGATACAAAAAGTAGTACAAAATGTGAAGGCAATAAGCTGTTACGATGTTGCCATGGAAACCTCTTCCAGAGCTTTATAGAATTACAGTAGGTTTAAACAATGCCTTCATGCACAATAAATAGTTATATCTTTGGTTTACTCTGGCGGAAAAATTAAATTTCATCACACGGTGCACTTACTAATGCTGCTGACTACAGCTGTATCTGTATGATGTTGTATGCATTATGCAGAGGTGCATTATTTTATAATTTCATAATATAAATGTAATATGCATATGTGCTACATAGGAAAATGAAAGTATATATTGAAAGTGTATGTAAACGCAATCATTTTACTTTTTCACAGTTTGTTTTTAGTGTATGAAAGGGTTAGAACCTGTCAGTTTTTTTATTGCTACCGGTGTACCCACTGGGGAGATTTATTCTCTGTTTATACTGGTGACTTTTATAACTGAGACCCAAAGTTTGACTTGCTACTGGGCCAGAAATAAAGGGGGAATCTTGCAAAGGAGATTTTTTTTTATGTTTAATAAAAAAATTCCTTTACTGTGCCAAAATCTCTTCCAACTTTCTGTTGTATCTTGACACAGGAATTAAATGAACATCTCATCTCATGACATGGACTGCAAAAAAAGCATTGTCAGGGATTTTAACCATTCCTATCCCTGTCCAAACAAAGAAATTGGCAAACATTTTTTAAAATCAGGGCACCCCTTATAAATATGAAAAATCTCGAGGCAGCCCCAGTCTAAAATTTAAAATGCATCAATTAAAAAAAGAAAATGACGTGTGCGCTCCTCAATATACATACCACACTGTTATTCTAGATAGGGGTCTGATATGGGTTTTTACGGGGAAGCCTACACACACACAAAAAAAGAAAATGATGTTGGTTTCCCTCTGACACATTAGGAGACCCTTTCACATCAGGAACCACTTTCTAATCCTTCCACCTCCACTGTTATAAACATCCAATTTTTTTATTATTTTTTATAACCTTTTTATTCTGTGCAACCTACCCCCTGCCTCAGTTCTCATTTAGGTGAAAATTATGCTTCGATCTCCTGCTGCAGCCTCGTAGGATATGTGATGTTGGAGCCATGCAATTAATGCAGGGCATTGGAGTGAATGGGCGCTTAGTCTTTTTTATTTAACTTACTTCTTGTGTTTGTAATGCCTCCCGGCATAACAATGTGACATATGCCAGGACGCATTACTTTCCACCATTCATAGAACTATATCTAAACAGACACAGCAGCGGATCGTGTACATGTGCAGACAGAGGTCTTGCGCCGTATTAGTTTAAATGTTGTTCTATGAATGGTGGAAAGTAATGCCTCCTGGCATATATCACATTGGTATGCCAGGAGGCAATACATACACAGGAAGTACGTTAAATAAAAAAAGACTAAGGGCCCGTTCACACCAATGCCCTGCATTAATCGCACGGTTCCGTGCCATTAATGCACAGTACCATGACATTAACATGCAGTACTGCGCAGCGCACCAACCAGTGTAGCAGGTGAAATTCAAATATGCAGCTGCAGGTGCATTGCATAGCCATTTATTTGAATGCCACCCCAAACACACTTCCCGGCCACAATGTGCTCAACTGTGCTACAACGTGCGGTACTGCAAAAACATGCATTGCAGTATGGTTGAAAAGTGCATGCGCTATTTTTCAACCACACTGCAGCGCACAGTATTGCGACACGTGCCCTAACTGCAGAGCCTGCATACATATGTCAAAAGAATAGGAATACCAGGAAAAAGGATGCAACTGATGGTATAGAATTGTAAATGACCACAGTGCAGGGAAAACGTCTGCTGGATTTTACAGAAAACTAAAGTGTTTGCGATGATGAACATAGGAGTAAGAATGATTCCAGAACAGTGCCTTAACCCAGTACCCTAGACCCTAATAATAACCACTCCACTTTTGTCAATTTGTACCTTTGCTGAGGACATGCATGTAAACATTTCTTACTGTATATCTGTTACATTTCCCACAAGGGTGGATTGCTTGTAGTTGTCAGTGCCCTTGGAGGGGAGGGGGGAGCAATTCACCAAGGTGGAATTCAGTTGTATCACCATATATACTGCAGTCCAATACCAACAGTTATTAGCTTTAGAAATTTGTATTAATTTATCTTATCTTGGAAGGCTTTGGTAATGGCACTGATTTAACCCAATTGTTGCTGTACTGGGCCTAAATTTCTCCCATCAGCCTGCAATTTTAGACTGAAAATCACAGGATTTGCTGATTTTGTATAACACACGTATTCCAGAATGTGAAATCAAATGTGCCATATTTAAGAGAATCACTGCCGTAAGGATATGGAGATGAATCTGCCCTGAATTCTCATGTGGCATCAGGAAAGCACATAAAGCAATAAAAACGTTGTCAGATGTTATAACAAAAACAATTCACAAATGTACAAAAATGTGTTATTGTCTGTGTCATTGTTGTATAGGTTGCCCATCGCTTCCTGTCCTGACAGGAAGGGAGGAAAAACCTCCTCACTAAGGACACAGACAGCAAAACAAACTGACAAAGGATTCTAGCCCTTCCCCACTTTATCAAAAACTAAATAAAAAGTATTGGCAGGAGTTGGGCTTAAGAAACATTAAGCAAAGGGAGGGCAGGTAAAAAATAAGGATTTAGGGCCTATTCTTCCTGGAGTGCTGTGCTAAACACATAATAACGTGTGCTTAGCGCAATGCTCCAGTGTGAATGAGCCCTTGCTGAATGTCGTAGGTAAAACTGTTGTGGTTAAGCCAAAACATTGTTTTATAATAATGGCAATTATTCATTGATTTTACGGTTCCAGGCTAAAGTAGGAGCAACAAACCAAACCCAGGGAAGCTTTGAAGAAGTTCTGAGCTCTACTGCTCATGCTAGCGCCCAGAGTTCATTGGCTGGCAGCCTTCTGCCTGAAGCTGAGGAAGAACTACAGTGATGACATCTACAAATAATACATATAGCTGCTCAGTCAACACCTTGCAAAGTACTGTCATAAAACCAGAAATGTGTGTTTTTGTTTCCCTCCAATAAAAGGTAATGGAGTATATTTTTCCGTTCTGAACCAAACAGAATAATGTCCCCTAGTATAGGGGTATAGGGGACATTAAGTAGTAATTCAATATATTTTTATCTTAAAGGATGAGGTATCTTCTGAAGAGATTTATGGACTAAAGGGACAACTACACTTGTGATTTTGCTTGTAGAAAAGGCACATAACATTAAAGTATATTTCCACTTTCGGGGACACATTTGGAACCCCCGTTTGTTATGTGTTCCTATACACACAGGATACCGAAAAATATTTTTTATAAAATATTTTTTACCTTTTAGGTGTATTTGAAGCTGGCCTTTGTGCAGACTGCAAGCTTCAATTTCAAAGCACCAGGAAACTCTGTCTGTCCCCATAGTAAGACTGGGGACACATTTCCTCTCATTAGCATACAAAGCTTCTAGATTTTTTTTCTCCCTTTCTTAGAACAGACATTGTTCAACTCTAGTTTATAACTGATAATGAGATCTGCCAGGACAGTACAGACAGGTTTAATTAGGTTAAACATTAGCTCCCCAACCCCTTGCATTTCAAGGAAAATTCAGTTTAGTGACCAACGTTTCTTTCAGCAAGTTATACGGAAGCAGCCATTTTTATATGCTATGATATGCTACGTACATGAGAACATGAAATTGTGTATGAGAAAATAAAATAAGTGTTATCCCAATTTAGCTGCAAAAGTGGAAATACACTTTAAGCAAAGATTTAAAACCCAAATGAACTCAGTTTAAATCAGCCAAATACATTCTGGGTGCATGAAAGCAAATGGTGTTTAATATCTTCCAGTCTGTTTCTTTTCTAAAGCAGCTATATATAGCTTCAGGAGAAGAGCCAAATCTGATGTTCTCTAAGGACTTGGGGTGACAAGCATTACAGTTCACGGTTAAGGGTGAGCTGCACCAGAATACTACATTGTTCAATGGCTTAGCTATGCAAGAGATTATTATTTATTAATATTATTACTGTTATTTTATATAGCACTGACAAATTATGCCGGGCTTTACAATAACATCAGCCCCTGCCCTCAAGGAGCTTGCAATCTAAGGTCCCTATCTCACATGCATTCATACGAGGGCCAATTTAGACAGGAGCCAATTAACCTTGTATTTGCTTGTGGGCATAAGCTTTTACAGTTCAGTTGAACCCTCAGTTTAAATCAACTAAATATATTCCAGATGCATAAAAAAAAAAAGATAGCTGGCCATACACCTGTAGATTATCTGCAGATTTTCTATGGTAAGATGGAAAAAGTGCCACAGATTCCTCCAACTACGCTAAACTGTGTGGATGGAGGAATCTTCCACTGGGCCAAGCTTCAGTATCTTGCTAGTCGGCCCTGCTGGCTCTCAAAATATCTGAACAATGCCTGCATCCAATCAGATTGTTCAGGTATTTTCACAGCCAGTGGGGCCAACTAGCAAGATACTGAAGCTTGGCCCAGTGGGAGATTCCTCCATCCACACAGTTTAGTGTAGATGGAGGAATCTGTTGCACTTTTTACATCTGACCATAGAAAATCTGCAGAAAATCTGTAGGTGTATGGCCAGCTTTATAGTTTATTTTCTTTTTAAAGCAGCTGTAGTGCCAGCAGAAAAGCCTGTCCTCTGCCAGAATGCTGCAGAGTGGGACACTTGCTATCTGTGGTGAAGAAGTGGTCTCTATGAAGAGATCCCTAACGAGTCACTATAGCTCTTCGAACAACAAAGCTCATGCTCCCTAATTATGGAGCTATAACTCTAACTCAGTAGGGGGTGTGTCAGAACCTCTACAAAGAGATCACTGCTTCCCCACATTAGACTTTAATAAGAAAACAAACTTTAAGACATTGAACACCTTTTGCTTTCATGCACCTAAAGTTTAGCTAGGCTCTAAAAGCTCATGCCCACAAGCGAATAAAACCTCCTGCTGAGCATTTAAAACAATGTAGCATTCTGTTTGCAGCTCATCCTCATCAGTGAACTGTAAAGCTTGCTCACCCCAGCAAGTCCTTAGAGGACATTAGATTTGACTATCTGTCTGATCAATGACTACTAAACCATCTGATGATACAAAAATAATAGCAGTGATTAATTCCAGTTGGTGCAAAGGCAAGGGAAAAAAATTGAAAAAAAAGGTAAGTCTATGTATTAATGTTTTTTTTCTTTTAACTCCAGAAATACATGCTATCAATAGTTTACAGAGAACACAAATGTTTCGGGGGGATGAGATTTATTTGTATATGTTTCTTTCCTCTGCACCTCTGTTACGCTCATCTTAGCACCAAATACCTCCTGTCCCAAAAGTATCCCTTTTAGAGCAAACCTGATCGCACTGCTCCTCCAGGGATCAGCAGGGGATTAAACCAGATGCTCGCCGGTCAGAGCATGCCCACACTTTGAAATCACCAGTCAGTCAAAACGTAGAAATCACCGGCCACACTGTATAGCACTGGAACTGCAGCATCACTGTGTCCATCCTTCTGATGCGTTTCATCCAGTCCTGGGCTTAGTCATAGAGGTAGATGCTTCAGATTGTTAATTAAAGTGTTCCAGCGTTATACAGTGTGCAGCCGGTGTTTTCTATGTTTTAAACCCATTGGAGAAGTTTTCTGATGAGATCCAGGCAGCAGACCGACCCCTAACATACTTGTTCAAAACTTTTGAACTCAAATTGTATTGTAAATTGTTTGAATACTGCATTTCTATACCCAATCCACAACTGTAATACCAAACTGAGCCATGTGTTCTACTTTGTGTCAGTATTTTAAGCTATATATCAGACACAGAATGTATGAAAGTTCAGGTTAAGTCAAACAGTAAAATGGCATTTCGTGTGCAATTGCAATGACCCCCTAGCCCTCAAACTATCACTGTGGTCCCAAATCAAAAGGTCATTAGCAAGTCTTGACGTCCATGACATGAACATCTTGGTTTGTACGAGCTATAAATTGAGGCTGTGGAGTTAATTATTTTACCTCGTTTATCCATTGGCATTGCGAATATCTGCTTTTTAACTTTATTCTGTCATGACTCAAATGTTATTGTCTAGGTATGACATCTTTGACCATCGAACATTATTGAATCTAAAAACAAAACCCCATTATAGGTGTTCCACCTTAACATATACCACACTGTTATAATGGATAGTCGAACCTCACATGCTAACACTTGTTAGCAAGTTGGAATAAATAATCTGCAGCATCCCTTCTCCTTGTAGAAAATGTATACGAGTTGATTTAACTCAGGCAGGATATTTTAGACAGATAATCTAATGCCACAACTCTATGTGCCAAATGCAGAGGTTTCGAAATGTTGGCAAGTTTAAAAGCACTTTTTCTAATTTATTTCAATAGATTTGTATCAATGGAGATTGTGTGACTGAAATTTCTATACTGTGTTTGTAACAAAGTTACTTGGAAAATGAAATATTTGCTTGATCAAATCATGTGGCAACTAGTATGCTTATGTTGCGTTACCTGTGAAGATTAAAATGAAAAATATTTTATAAAAATATGAAAAATAGTTAGATAAATAGTTATGTATACCAAACGAATATTCTTATTAAAAGATATCTTGGTTTCAGAGCAAGTGGTGTTTGAATTTGTATCATGTAGTATGCAAAGCACCGTACCTGTGTGTTAAAAGAAAATACAGAGACCACTATTACCAACTCGCCAGAAAATGCTAGTTTACCTGGCTTTGGTTTCAATACTTTTAAGTCACTGATGTGAAACAAGAGTACGGCAAATGAGGTCAGAACACCTAATTTGCATAACTGCTCTGGATCAGTGACTCAGATGGTTAAAAAAAAAAGAAGAAGAAGATGGAGCTGTTGCCAATAGCAGGTTTGGAAAAAAAAATTGTGCTAGGCTGCTATGCGCAATAAGTTCAATTTTTAATTGGAGGGTCACCATGACAGCCAGGCAAGCAGAGTAATTGCATCCTTTAATATATACTGCAACCCCTTGAGACTAGTGGTGCCTGCCTGGCATTTGAAACCACCACAACAGCCAAACTGGTCAAATGAGAATTTAAGGTTACCTTTAGTAACGTCAACCAACCATAAGCTATTCAGTTATCAAAATGACTGTCACTTTAATATCAATTGAGGGACAGAAGAATTCATAGACTGTTGTGTTATAATGCTGCCTATAGGAGCATTTAGACAAATGGCAAACAAAACAGTTGCAACCCAATATAACCCCTCCTACTCCCAGCATGCCTTAATTTTTAGCTAGTATCCAGGATGGACATCTTTGCTCTGCTGAGAAAAGTCTATGCTTTTTGCTAGCTATTTTACCTTTTTTTCTTCAAGATTCCTCAACAAGCTGTTTAGAGACTAGCTCATACACAGCTATCCGGATTTGCGTTTCCTCAGCAATAGTTTAGGAAACCATACTCATACCCTATTGGACTGAACAATTGTGGCGCTAGCCGGGTATGTGACCTTTAAGCACTGGGCTCTGCTTGTGGGGCTTTACAGACCCAAATGTACAATGTTAGCCAGGAAGTGCTTTCCAGATGCAGAGCTGTGGCACAACCACCAGGTGTGACCCTGTCTCTGAAGATTTAGGAGTAGCCCGTATGGGAGCAGCATCAGGCCCTACATTGTTGCTCCTCTGGGCGCCATTTGAAATCCCAGTTTTCCATAAGTTTATCTCGGCTGGTGTTAACTAAGTGACTGACTGTGCTTCTACATCTTCCCTTGCAGAATCCTTAATTCACCTACACCTGAGGAGTCGAAGGCAGCTGCTATTATGCAGAGAATGAAAGACTGTCTTCTGCTCTTATTGACGCAGTTTAAAAGGTTTAATTGCCCCACTTTAAAGCTTGAGGATCATTATGCAGTTTCTACCAAAACTGTCCTCAATATAGGCCAGTAAAGTGCATCAAGCCCGTTTCAAGTATTCCTTTATTGAGTCTGGATGAACCCGGATGAACTGGTTACTCCTCCCAAACGGTTGGCAGCCCTGTCCTTGTTTGAAGCAGACTGCCTCAACTGTGGATCCGGCAGCATCCCAT